CTACAGATATTTTTAAGTTTTAAGTTTTAAGGTGTGCCTACTTGTTAAACTAATACATTAGTCTAGTACGGAAGCGCTAATCCCGTTTTTTGTATCTTATTTCGAGTAAATGTGTGTTAAAATACATGACAAACGTATCCATACGACAACGAGCATAATGCAGAAATCGAGTCCAGATGTCTACAAAGGTGAGAATTAACAATTACCACACACAAACATTGTCTAGATAATGATAACGACAATAAATGAAACAAGGGATATATACCGGTACCGTCGAAAACATACGTTTTTTTGTGAAACCGCATGTCTATAAATAAAGGAGGCATACCCGGCGTAAATCTTCGAATTAGCGCCGGGGGCGCTTATTTCAAATTTAGGAGAAACTAAGATAAGCTAGTGTTTTTTTATCAGTTTCTTGTGATTTAACACCACCAATACTGTACATCCTTTGTTGTCTCAGAACTCATCCATAAAACAGGGGTGGGGGAAGCCTCTTATTCGAAGGGAGGCGCTTATCTTAAAGTTTGGCCTATAGGAGGGGCGCTCGTTTCAAGGGAGCCCCTAAGTCGAGGATTTATGGTAAAACCCTTGCATTGATTGAAAACGGAAGGGAAAAAACGTCAATCGTAAATTTAGTCTTTTCCACTCGCTTCGTTAACATTCCTCTTTGAAATTTTTGAAGACATGGGGAACGTTACAAACACAGAAACAGAAGGAGAAGAAACTCAACAACAACTGTCTAAGGAAGAAACAAGTGATGTTACCGTTGATGAATTACCTGAGTATCTTCAGCATCTAAAGCTAATTCATGACTCGACGCCAACAGAAGGAAATGAGAATAGTTTACGGTTAGCTGTGAGGTGTAACAGTCTAGAAGGACTTGAACGCCTGTGGGAAGACTATCGTTCTGGTCGCCTGAATGAAATAGCTGAGAAATACCTCGTGACAGATGAAATTAAGAGGAGATTTCATGTGAAGTCTGTAAATTTAGCCACAACTATTCTGGAAGAAGATTACTTGGCATGCAAAGAGTTTCTGTCGAGCAAACCAAGTAAGTCGAAAATAACATTTGTTTAAGGTGTGAGATAAGTATGTTTCTACATTTCTATTCAGTCAAAACTAAACCGATAGGTTTTGAGATGTCTTTTATTTAGGAAGCTGGCTATGTCAAGTTAACAATGATTGTGTGGCTTTGTCACAAGATGTTGTGTAGGTGTAATTTATCTCACGACAATAATTATTTTCGCAGAAGAAGAGATTTGCTTAACAATTTAACTATAAAATACTGCAATAATATGGAAAAACTTAAAACCATTTAGGTTTAAAATCAAAGACGACGTTTCGACGTTCGTGAGTGAATAAAATGGGTACAAATTTAAATATAAACAAAGATTTCCCAAAAGACACGAATGCAAAGAAAACAATAATAAAAATTCTAAAAAAAGAATGCTAAAAATATGTAATATCAAATATAACTCAATTCGTGCCAGACTTTTTTCGTGACTCTTTGCGTGCAAATATTTTATTTCATATATTTTAAGCAGCTTTTTTCTTTGCATTTCTTTCTTTGCATTCGCGTCCCCTAGGAATTCTTAGTTTATATTTAAATTTGTACTCATTTTATTCACTCAGTTGACTTGATAATGACGTTAAGCGAAAATTAAAACGTCGTCTTTGATTTTAAACCAAAATAGTTTTAAGTTTTTCCATATTATTACAGCGTTTTGTAGTTAAATTGTTAGACAATTATCTTATTTTGAGAACTACAGAGGTCAACAGTGTAATGTACCGTTTTATAATGATGACCAACCAGTAGCACCCACAACAAAAAATAAACAGTTGCAGTAATTACAGGGCACAGACCCGGTGTTTACAGAATTTTTATGTCGCTCAGGTATATCTGTGGTTTTTCTTCAAACGTACAAATAACATTGCTTCTTTCTTTCGCTAATTTGTTAGACAGCAATGCTAGTTCACCCATAAAGGCTTCTGGGGAAAGTTCAACTCAAACTTCTGCGGAAACTCAGACCCTGATTGCTGTCAAACGTGGAGCTCTGACTTTGGACGAAATACAGATTCAACCTGCTGAGGAATGCGAGGGTCAGATGGTTGACGAAAGTGAGATCTTGGTTTCAGGGAATACTGGCATTCCATCTACGAACGAAACTCGTACTTTGACAGTGGAAGGCACAGAGGCTCAAGTTACTGCAGAAACTCAGATTCCATCGGCTGAGAAAACTAGGACGAGGACTGGAGAAGCGACAGAAACTGGAGCTACTGGCGTGAGCAAGATTCCGTCTGTAGATAAAACTCAGACCCAGGCTACTACTGAAAGTACGAACCTTGCTAGAGACGAAACTCGGATTCACCCTCCCGAAGAAACTTACCCCCGTACAAAGACTGCTGAATACAAGTGCCCTCTGGCTACAGAAGATTTTGACATCGAATTTCCCGAGACATACGAAACTAAAACTACGGAACAAAGTAAGCCCTCAATTTTTAATTTTAGAGATATTTCTTTTCATTATATTAAGTAAAAATACCATTATTATCGACCTTGTTATCAGCGTCAAAGGAATCGTTTTCCGCTCATTTTTTAGTGTGCGTTCAATAACACGTACACGAACTCAAAAAGTGGTTGCGTTCTTCGCTGCCATCTTAGGGCACCTTTCAGATAACGGATTCGAAAGGTAATTTTGGTAACTTTCGATCCATTTTGGTGTTTGTTTCTTAAGGTTTGATTAATGTCTTCGTAATCACGATAAACGGCAGCGAGAAGTGCAATCCTTAGTTAAGTTTGGAACTTCGGCGTTCGCGATTTTTTGAAATGCCCGGTAAGTAGCCGAAGGTAGTTTTGTCTATCATGTCTACCCCCGTAGTTGAAGTTTCAATAGCGAAAATATATTAGACAATCAATACTTTGCCGGTTTTTATCAAGTTGCCTCGGCCCCACTAAATATTCTCCGTTGTGAGATATAATGAAAAAAGATCTCTCATGCTTAATATATTACGTAACTATCATAGCATATACTATAATAAACTCAGTCTTTGCGCAACATAAAAACACCACAGTCAATATTGTGAAAGAAATTTAACTTGGACACACTGGATGGCCATTTTCACAATAGGAAAGGGAAAATTTCAAGGCTTTTGACAATCTGGAATAATAGTGACAGAAAACAAATAAGATAACTTTTACTTGAAAACTGTCTATTTATTCCTCTTTCTTTAATTAATTAATTAAAAAAATCTTCAGCGATCTTGAAGCTTTGGTCAGTTGCTCTCCAGTCACAACACAGCCAACATTGTAACTTTGATACCACTGGATTTAGAATAAAAGGGTTACATTCACTAAACCTAACACGATTCCTGACAGAAAACAAGTACAAGTATGAAAAGTACTCTTATACCAAGAGACGATCATAGTCTCTTGCTCATAGTCTCTTCACTTTCTTAATCCTGTAATAATAATAATCATCATCATCATCAAGACAATAATGATGATGATGATGATAATAATAATAATAATAATAACAATAATAAAACAATAATAATTTTGAGTCATTCAAGTAAACCATTAATATAGATATTGTTTGATAACTTCAAACTATGTTTCAATGTTGCGATTTCTCTCGTATTAATTTCAGATGTGACAAAAGGCTCGACACGTCCAGGTAATAATTCTCAGGCGCCGTCTTTTCAGTCTGTTACTCTGCTTTCTATAGAAGATGAGATTCCCTTTGCTGTGAAAACGCTTGACGATCTTGTACTTGAGCAGCTGATCGCAGGTGATTTACTTTACTGTAACCAAAAACTATTTAATTATTTGACTTCAAACTTAAGATGTTATGTAGTGGGGCGCTCGGTACAAGTTGCGAGAGGTGACAGGAATCAAATCTTTATTACCTGATTCCGTCCTGTGACTTGTACCGCTGTCTCATCGGTTGGCATGTGTGAGCATTCGGGACGACTGAACCTGATGGATTGAACTTCTTTACAGGACACCAACCCAAACACTTTCACGCAAATCCCACGAATGAATAGCAAAGCNCAGGTGATTTACTTTACTGTAACCAAAAACGATTTAATTATTTGACTTCAAACTTAAGATTTTATGTAGTGGGGCGCTCGGTAACAAGTTGCGAGAGGTGACAGGAATCAAATCTTTATTGCCTGATTCTGTCCTGTGACTTGTACCGCTGTCTCATCGGTTGGCATGTGTGAGCATTCGGGACGACTGAACCTGGTGGATTGAACTTCTTTACAGGACACCAACCTAAACACTTTCACGCAAATCCCACGAATGAATAGCAAAGCACTTGATACAACGAGCACGACACACGGCCCTTAAAAATTTACGCCAAAACAGGAACTTCAGTGGAGGGCCTAAACAAGGTTAATAGACAAACCCAAACATGACCACCTACTGAAGCTAATGTTAAAACTGGCTAGAGACACTAGGAAAAACAAACTATAAAAGTAAGTACAGGGAAAGATATGTGTGGGCTAACCTTGAGCCGCCGATAATCACAAGATCGATCCTAGGGGAACTAAAACAAAAATTAGGAAACTCAAATTCAGCCTCACAGCACAGCTATCACGTCATAGATATCAAGGGCAAATAATCTTATTGTCTTAGTAGAATTCTGACTAAATTTCCTTCAAATAACAATTTCCAAAATTTTTTCCCATTTAACTTTACGCTTTGGCAAATTTACGTGGATTAAATTATAATTTGAAACTAACAGCTGNAAATTTACGCCAAAACAGGAACTTCAGTGGAGGACCTAAACAAGGTTAATAGACAAACCCAAACATGACCACCTACTGAAGCTACTGTTAAAACTGGCTAGAGACACTAGGAAAAACAAACAATAAAAGTAAGTACAGGGAAAGATATGTGTGGGCTAACCTTGAGCCGCCGATAATCACAAGATCGACCCTAGGGGAACTAAAACAAAAATTAAGAAACTCAAATTCAGCCTCACAGCACAGCTATCACGTCATAGATATCAAGGGCAAATAATCTTATTGTCTTAGTAGAATTCTGACTAAATTTCCTTCAAATAACAATTTCCAAATTTTTTTTCCCATTTAACTTTACGCTTTGGCAAATTTACGTGGATTAAATTATAATTTGAAACTAACAACTGTGCATTCGCGCTTGTCGGTTTTGTCGAGTCACAGTGTATGTCGTTTTTTCAGTTTTCTCGGGAATTGAGTTATCTGCAGCAATCTTTCTAAATCGTCTTCCGAATCTTCGGAAAAAAACGAGAAAAAAGTGTAATTTTGTAGACGACCTCAAGCCATTCGACACTAAATTAAGTAATGGCTGATAGCTCAGCCAATCATGTTGCAGCATTTGCTTAAGTTTACAGATAGAAGTCTTCTAAGAGCAAACTGATGAGCGCACATACACAGCTGCAGATTTGAAATGACAAGAGGCCGTGCTCGATTTCGCCAAAGCTTGAAGTTTATTATAAATGTTTGGAAATAATTTTTTGAAGGACATTTATTTAGAATTTTCAGTCTTGCGGTCCGTGCTCGCAAAGTAATTCCATCATCCCAAAATATCAGTATGTTAGTGGAACTGATCTTCAAAATTCGGAGAATGAAAGTTTTATAAGATAGTACCTTCTTAGGAAATGTTGCTAAAAAATTTACTGTAAAGCAAGGGTCCTGGGCGGCCTTGATATATTGTAGAAGCGATTAGAAATTTTGGGTGCCTTCATTTTTATAATCCCGACCATTCTTTTGATTGAACCTCTTGCCCCAATTTCAAGAATGAGCAGAATGTATTCCATGCATTTTGCTTCAGCGAGCAGAATAAACTGACTACTTCGAAATAATCACGTCACTTCCCGTCAGGTCGCAAACAAAACACGTTGTTACACAAACAACTACACTCCATGAGTAAGAGGTGCTCCTTCTCTTTTCCTTGTACGGTAAAATAAAAGAATTCTTAACAAAATGCAACTAAAAAACGTTTGGTGGTTAGGTGCGCTTGCTTGCATCGATTTACACATCGATGCATCTGATACCTAAACTCTAATTAAGTCAATAGCTCCCTGGTTAGCACATTAATAACAATAGGTCGTTCTTGTTAAATTCGATCTTTCGGCCTATTCTGCTACGTATAAGTTTCTTAGATTTTGCTTTCTTCTGATTAAGAGGACTAACAAGGTTGAAAAGAGGCTTTCAAACTAGACTCGACTGTGGTCTACCAATTTTTCTGTCGGCTCGGTCTGTGAAAACGCTATATCACAGACGAAGATAGGGCATTTGCTGCGTCATAGTGACTATCATGCGCGCGTTACCTTATTTGTTAAACAAACTATAAAATTCGGACAGGGTGTTCAACAACAACTTTTCTCTTCTTTTAATAAATTGTGCAAGTGAGAAACAACGTTACATAAGCCATTGTATAAGCGAAATAGTTCTCAACTATTTTTCTTTCCTTTTTGTGGTTTTCCTTACAGTTGAAAAGTTTTCTGGTTCAGCATTGGACATTGACGCTCCAAGTCCACA